CGCATATTATACATAATAATATTATATTATTAAATTTGGCGTTTAAATATCCCTATACCGTGAATTTATACTCATTATTATATATTTATTGTACCTAATCAGCTAAATAATACCCACCCCATCTGTATACCTATACGCGTGTATTGCGTGAATATATATATATATATATATATAAAAAAAATTAAAAGCTGCACTCTCAAAACGGTCGTATAATTGTATTATTATTATAGTTTTGTAGGTCAGGGACGCAGATTTTAATCCTCGAGCCTGCGCAACTATATCGTAGGTATATTATACCCATAACAATATAGGTATACTTCGCATCCTGTAATAAATAGGTAAACGTTGCAGCGTGTAATAGTTTTCTCTAGGAAAAAATATTACACAAAAGCAATGAGAGAGCGCATTATGGTATAAATTATTTTTTGAAACGGTTGCGCCAGGCGAATATGGTTGGTATACAGTGGCTATGACTTAAAATAATAATAATAATAATATTATAATAAGATGATTATTCAAACGGAGACGCTGCAGTGAAGTAGTATAATACTAATTGAATAAACATAACACGAGCATTCCTTGAGACGTTTTATTTATATATTATTTTAGTCGATTCGACATGAACATCCCCTACCCCCCATGTCAACCATAATCTTGTATCGTCCCACCCACGCGTATCCGCCGCCGCTGACGTCGTCAGTGCTACGGTTTCCATCCCCGTGTGCCATTCGTGCGACAATCCAGCCAGTGAATTATTATCGCATGTAAATTAATATTTTATTATTAAATTGCAATCGCGTGTACCAACCGTTAAACGCGCGAATAGTTAATAATATATAATATTATAATATATTATTTTTTTTTCAAACGTGGAAATTTCAACGCTTATCGTCCGTCGCGTATCTTTGCGCGTTCGCGGCGCGATTAGATAATAATATTAATAAAATAATCAAGACTCGGAGTAAAAATAAAGAAAAACCGGTGTTCGGCGGTCGTTCGTTGGGTTTGAGGGGTGGRGGGTGGGTGGAGAGCGGAGGTGGCAAAAGAACAATAATGATCGTTTGAAAATAATATATACATATATAATTTAAAACATAAACGAACACTTAAAAAACAATAAACGTCTGAAACGGAACGTACATTACAAGACGTCCATGCCGCGCGATACGTCTCGTAAGTCGTAGGTATAATATGCGAGTAAAACAACACACACGTTGTTATAATGTGTAGGTATCTACAATATTAATATCGTGTAGTTATGGTATAATATMCCATGCTTAACGCGTTTACCTGTAAACCGTACAATATCGCACGGTCGGCGCTCGTTATCTTATCTCGGCGTGTGTGTGTACCCGCGCCCAACCCACCCATGTATAATAATAGTAATAATAATAATGATTATTATTATTATTATCATTACAATATAAATTATATGTACCGTCGTCGTCGTCGTCGTGTAGCTGATACGCGCGTGTTTACAATAAATAAAAAAAGAAAAAGAAACACACCGGCCATAATAGGTGTAATATCTGAAGTCGGTGTCGTGTGTTTCCGTAATAGGTAACCGAATATTGACATGGTAACAAATAATTCCAAATACGCGCCTCATGATAAAAAATAATATAATATTTTAACGCACGGGCACCACTCGTGCTCGGTCGAGAGTTCCTTAAAAATACGCGCCGCCGTAGTATTTCGTGTTGGTAAAGATAGATTCGATCTAGGTCGTGCGGTTTTCTACTTAAACAGACTTAATATAATRATATATATACTATATTATGCCGATATTGTAGTTTACTGACTTGTGACAATCATATACATTATGGGGTAAGCATCGCAATACAAATCCCTAGAATACGCGTGGATCAAAGTCTAAAAACATATTTGTGTTCGTCCTGTAAAATTATGTAACCTAATCGAAAACGACTTTTTCACTTATTTGAAATGTTCAATTTTGATTAACATTTTCCATACATAATACTCTAATCGAAATTCCGACGTACGGAGATTAATTTTATATCGCTGCAGTAAAGTAATTTTGAAAACAGATTATTTTTTGTCTTTAACAGTTAACTTTGGATCCAGCGATACACGTTTTYCATTTTTTATTTTTAGATCTCGTATTTTTAGAAATACCAAAGGAAAACAAATATTTTTCAATTTTTTTATATAATAATTCTTCTTCCCAAGATTCAAAAGATAGAATCCGTTATAAATTCAAAAAWTKTTTGTAAATTATTATCGAAGAAAATAACTCAAATGAGTACGTTGAAACGCCACGATAGGCATAGTATTTTGCTCCAAACAGTAGTGTGAAATATCTTTAAATATATCAATTTATTGAACTGCTTAAAAAACGATCGGTATCGAATCCCGCCTCGATTGCATCTTACCGATGACCTTTACTTTATTATTTTACGTAACGCGTTCAAATTTTCAAAGTGTACCAGCTGCACAAGTACATCGATAATAATAATATTATAAAATAATKATGAGAACAAATATKCAAATACATGCCAAGTTCCTATATTAATAATAAATATATTTGTATTGTTAAAATAGAGCTAAATGCATTTGCATTTTGATAAKTACAGTTAAAAATAAAAATACTGAACCATATTATATTATATATACCATCTGCGTATAATCATATTTTGATATTCACATTATTAATATTCACACGGGGAGGGGCTATAGCCCTGTATCACGCTCACCCCAATGGGCCATATAAATAGGGCATATTAATTAATGATATATGCACTTTGGAAATGACGTGACGTATATGTATATATAGTATGTTGTTCAGGTTTAAAAACTTGAACATGTTGTACGTGCCTGTTTAAAATATACCTACCTAAAGTTATATTATATTATATTAAAATTACAAAAATGTATCGTTAATGATATTTCGAWCGTTTCATGGCACTCGATAATTATTTACAAAGGAATATAATTCCACTACGACGCATTAGCTAATGAAAATCGCCATTTACGATTAATATTATATTATTGACGTTAGGCATTTATAGATTCCGAGCGATTATATCGTATATTATACGACCGTGTGCCACGTTTATATAAATTCGTTTTTAATTAGTTGTTATTCATGGAGTTTTAACGGCGTCTAGCATGGTTTCTATCATCTAGATTACCGTCGCGTATCTAAAGTAATATCTTAAATACTAATATATATTATATATATATGTCGTAGGTACCTCATCGCCGCACACTCATTTTTAATCGGCTATTGTTTGAGAACCTATCACGATCCGTTCAAGTTTCTCGAAAAAATATCGTTTTGTAAAAAACAAAAAAAATATATGAACGATCGGTGGATATAATATAGCATATTATAGGTAAACGGTCACGTGATTTGGCGCGTCATTAAAAAAAAAATTATATAGGTAATAGCGTCGTTTTATTATAACGGTGGGGGAGAAGGGGAACGAAAATCCTGGTAAAATTTTGTCTTATCGTTGGCATATCGAACATTTGTATAAATATCATACATAGTAGATAAATATCATCTCGTCGAACCGAATACCAAACCGGTTGGATAGCTTTCGAGACAATAGCCATCGCGGTTTAAAGGTATGTATTCCGTGTGCCTATTATATAGTACATATTATGTATCGACGGCTTACTAATTGTCGACCAAACAGATTGCAGCGTGTACAACAGGTAGGCACAATAATATAATAATAATAAAATTATATTATTTAACTTTCGTCCTTCGTCGTGGTCTATAATAATTACAACGATAATAATATGTGTGCTTAAGTCGTGCGCGCGATATTTAATCGGTTCGGAAACTCATCATATACCTACATCGAAAAAATCGAATAAAATAACATTCAAAGGGTCGCGGGGTTATAACCCTCAAAATGATGGTCGTATCGGCTGCGAAGTCGGTGGACATTTCTTTCGCCTTGGGTGATGACTTTTTTTTTACGTTATACCTATCTTATCTGCAGAGGCATAAAGATGGTCTCAAATCGCAAAAAAAAAAAAAACATCACTCGGTACGAGAAATAAGTTGTTTTTGTTTTTTACGTGTTTGTACGTTATTTACAACTTCTTTTCAATACAAATTGAACAATAATAATGTGTACCTCTCAGTATTGTTTTGCGCAAGCTACGGAAAAGAAACAAAAGGAAAGTAAGAATTATAAGCAACCCAAAAGTTGATCTAATATTTCCTGCTAAAGCATTCAGCTCACTTCWTTATGATAGTAATATTTATTTTATTCGTTTCCCAAGTCCCACGAATTTTGCTCGTGTTTTTGGAATCAATTCGAGTTGACTGAAAACTTTTATGGACATGTACAATGTACATCAAAGTAAAAATAGATATTTCATATTATTCCGCATCGAAATATAGTTTTAATACATACCTAAAAGTTCTATCTACCGAACATATATTATATTAMGTAGGTCATGACTTTTAAGTTTCTGCACGTGTTAAACTTTGAAATTCCACAAAACGAATTATAATAATTTGTAGTTGAAAAATGTAATCAAAATAATTGTAAGGTGAGTTTACTGAAGTGGGTATCATTACAAGGTAGGTTTTCGCGTTCACTTTTATTAAAGTTAACTTTATTTAACTAATTAGTGGACTGAACAAATATGATTTGCGCATTTGTATATATAATATGTTCGTGTAAAAGATAATTTAATTTTTATAAATTATAATTCTTGTGTGCACAAAGGAAGACAGATGTTTGAACGTATACAGTAAACAATTATGTTTTGATGTTTGCGGTGCTGGTAGATAACCAGGCACGCTGCAGTTTGCGAGGTAAAACCAAATACCGAATAAAATTATCCAGATGATGGAATTTTTTCAGTGTTGTATAAAAATATTTTGTTAAAAACCACTTATGATATTGGCGCGCTCCCCCCTCCCCTTTAAATAAGTGACCCGATATACATCTATTACGTATATGTCAGTTTTTTGTTCTTGTCCTAACCGTTATTTGTCTTTTCGATTTTTACAGCTGGCGAGGACAGCGAATGGGTGACAAACGAAGAAGTGGTTGACGGTAGCGACGCAACGATAAAGTGTGAGGTAAAAACAGAACAAAATCAGCTACCGTCGCCGCCTTCGCGACCGGAACCAGAAGAGCTGCCGACACCCGCCATCGACCCGCATCCAACGCTAAGACTCAATCCGAATCTGGYTACTGACCCAGCCAAATGGTCGCCGACAGACAAACCGTCACCGCCGGAACCTCCGCCGCCTCCACCGCCTCCACCGTCTGCGATAATAACGGCCACCGCAGCCGCATCATCWTCTGCATCGTCCACATCGTCWTCGTCGTCTTCGTCCTCATCACTGTCGTCGTCGGCGATTGGCGAACCTACTCACAACGTGGTAACCATTACCACGCCTAGAGGTATGCGTAAACTATGGTCAATATATTATATTTTTCAAATACAATATTGTTTCGGAAAACCCCTATATATTATATTTATTGAGAAAGGACCAGCTTTTTAAGGGGCTTGATATAGGCAATGTTAATACAGTTTTGAGAAAAATATATTATTTATATCTCAAATTTTGAATATATAGGTACGTAAAAATGAATTTAAAGTAACTTA